TATTTTCAATAAATGCTATTCCTACCATTTCATGAATATATTCATTTCTAATCTATCTTTTTTAGTTTTACCACAAATCTATCCAAAGCATTCTTATCTCAGTTGCCCAACACTTTCTTCTATAAAGCAGAATTGCTGGCCTACTATTGAGTATGAATGCATTTAATAGAGTAAAATAGAGGGATGGTTTTGGAAATTCAGACTATATTAGTTGGTTATGAACACAGTCAATGCATATCCCCTTAAAAATTGTATGCAATCATTGGCTTATTAAATACAGCCACATCACCGCACGTTTTTGTGTGCACATGTAGATGCAACTTCTTCTTAAACACATTTTTATACTATTCTCGAGAAGTTAACAGAGACTGGTGGATGACTATGAATGTGCATTGCGACAATTGGGTCATTAATCATTACATTGGATTCCAACCTCAAGTATGCAGTTGTTCCTTACTGAAACAGCGAAATGCAGAAATTGCTCTCTTCATTTTTACATTTTCAAAACTAGACTTTTCAAATGTTGGGCCCGCTTTCTATTGGCTTCTTGTGCATTGCCGATGTTGTGACTTTTTGGCAATTTACTAGTTTTAAGTTTCACTTCACCAGTGTGAAAGATATTGTTTAATTGCCTTGGTTGGGTTAGTCTGTTCTCTATTGTCATTGCATGATTTGATATTTTGTTGTAGGGTTATCTTATGAATTTTTGTGATTTTGTTACTAATCATTGTGTATTAGTGTTGTGGTAGTAGTTAGTTGGGATTAAATCTATGAAATTATGTAAACAAACAAGTAGATGTACATCTATATTTTCCAGGTTGAAGCCTTCCAAACAGAAAAAAAGCATACCTGCATACAAGGAGTAGATGTCTAACAATTCTTTTGGAAATTGGAATTATAAAAGCAAGGGAAAATATTATTCAGTTAACTGTGGTTGTTTTGTTTATGCTGGATTGCATTTGAACAGGGACTGTGAGTAGGAACAGATCCTTCTTTCATCCCTAATCCATGGCACCTAGTTGGAGTATCTTTATTCCTGCTAAGTTTCAGGCATTCCTATGCAGGATGGAGACAGCTAAGCATTTGTCTTCACACTGCCATACATAGCCACAGATATATGGTTTGTTTGGTTCATCTGTCTCTTTAAGTGTCAGACTATTCTATTGCTGCACAACCAAAGAAAAAAAAATGTACACCTTGTCAGTGTTTTAAAAAGCGCACTTAGGCGCGCGCCTAAGCCCAAGGCGAGATGAAGCGCAGCTTAGGCGACGAAGCGCGTGCTTTATTATAAAACCTGAGGCATGCGCTTCATGCGCTTCAAATGTTTTTCACTCCAGCAGCCCCCATTTGTTTACTGTGTGGATACCCACATGGGATAACATCTCATTTACATCATAAAATGATACAAACGTGGGTCAACAGAGCAAAAACACAGGTTCTCTTCTCCTCTCTCTCTTCTCATCTTCTCTGGTTCTCTTCTCTTCTGCTTCGACTATTCTTCTCTTCTCCTCTTCTTTTCTTCTCTCTTCTGGTTCTGTTATACCCTGTTTTTTTTTTTTTCTTTTTCTTCTGGTTCGATTCTTCTCTTCTCCTCTGGTTCGATTCTTCTCCTCTTCTTCCTTTCGTTGTCTTTTTCTCGCTTCTGTCACGCTCTCTCTCTATCGCCTTCCCTCTCGCGATTGCGATCTCTCTCTCTCTCTCTCCTGTCTCGTTCGCGATCACGATCTCTCTCTCGTGTTCTCTCTCGCGCTGACGATCTATCTCTCTCTCTTTCTTCTGTCTCTCCCTTTATCTTCTATTCATATATATATATATATATATATAATATAATATCTATTATATAATATACAATATACTTATAATATATAAAATATAATTGATTTATATATATAATATTATACAATACCTATTATATAATATATAATATACTTATAGATAATATGTAAAATAAAAAACATTAATTATTTAAAAATAAACACATGTATATAAAATAAAAATATACTTATGTAAAATAAAAATAAACACATGTATATAAAATAAAATAAAATAATTAATTAAAACACATTATTTAAAAAATATAATAAATAAATAAAATAATACATATATTAAAAAATTAATTATTTTTTTCTTCTTATTAAAAAAATTAATAATATACATATTAAATATTTGTTTATGTTGAAAATTGTGCTTTGTTAATATTTTGCTTAACTTCTATAACTTGCGCCTCGCTTTGGTGAGGCGCGCGCCTCGCCTCGCGTCGCGCCTCGGGGCTTAGGCTCCAGGTGACCTTGGTGCCTCGATGCGTCGCGCCTCGGGGCTTAGACCCCAGGTGACCTTGGCGCCTTGATGCGCCTAGGGCTTTTTAAAACACTGCACCTTGTTTAGTCCCCCATTGGAATTTTTTAAAAAAAGAGTAAATTACACTGTTGTCCCTTGAACTAAATTATTGTCTCATATATTTTGGCTTTTTTAGCACTAAATTATTGTCTCGTATCATGCCAAATTTTGGGTTATTATTATTTTTTTTGGGTTCTAACTCTTGGCATACTCTTGGCATTTGATCATGACTGTGAATTCATCTCAAATGTCACAATCTAGTTTCTTTTTATGTTATTTGATTTGAATTATCTTATTTTTACTTATCAAAATAATTGAACTTTATTTTTGTAGATTGATTTAGCAATGTTTGGTGGTGAAATATTGTGCCAGGTACAGCTAATTTATTGTTTATTTTTCTCTTGTTATGCTAAGAAATTATTTGAAATTCTTTTTCCCCTGTGTTACTGTTGCTGCTTGGGATATTTTTCTTTTCTTTTTTACTGTCAAGGCTTGCTCTGTAATCTTTTATTTATTTCTTTATTTCTTTATTTGGCATTTGTCAATACATAATTTGATGAGGTGAAAATGTTAATGATTTGATGGATTTATTTTTCAACGGACATTAGCATATCTATTTTAGCTATTAAAAGCTAACTTTTGCATTTCCACTTTCTCTTAGATTTTAGAGCTTTGCTATATCTGGCTGTGTTCATGACTTGTCTGTTTCTATTGTCGTCATTTTAATGCTTTTCATGTTTCCTGTCTAATATTTTGACAAATGTTAATTCTTATTAACTGCAGGGGATCCCCAAAATTGAGCCCAACAGTGATCTTCAGCATGTTGTTGAGGTACACTTTTGTATGTAAAAATAGTTCTTCAAGTTAAAATTGAATTTCTGTTCAAGTTGGGGTTTTTTTCACTACACAGTTTGTTGAATTATTTTTTAATGTCTAATTTTCAATTTTGAAGATCAAGACTCCTTAGCAACTTGAGAGAATGAGAGAAACTTGCCGAGTAAGTTCTTAGCATCCTCTCTTTCTCAAAAATGAAAAGGAAATTTTATAAGTTCCATTTGCATGAGGCAAACCTCTATCTTATTGTATGGTTTGTTCATGGCTTTTATCATTACCTTATCCAAAGTTGCCTTATGCTTTTGCTAATTTGTCTCTTTCAGTGTGCAAGTGTATTTGCAGTAGTGGATAGGAAAGAATGAATTTGATGTGAACAGTAGCTAGGAAAGCTAATCAAGATTTATCATTAGTTTATGCGAAGAATACTAGTATTTGTTTCATGATTTGCTTGAGTTTCTGATTTTCTTTTTTTTTATTTTTTTTTTTTGTTGTTGTCTTTCTTCGTTATCCCTTATGTGAAGTAATGTTCTTAATTATGAGCTGAATAGTTGTACTGTGTTTCTACCCAGTTGCTCACCTAGGGTTGTGCTATTGTTGTCTTAAGAAATCACGACTATATGTCGTGCTGGACGAAGTATATTGTGACTATGTGCTATTTGTTGTTCTTCACACCATAGTTTGAGTAGCAGTTGTCTCCAACTATATCTATATATCTCAGGAGTGATAGTTTTGTTTGCTTTACCTTCCCTAACTTACCCAGGGTTGAACCTACAACTTGATCTTAGTATTTCTATTATTTATTGTGTATGTTTTTCAGTTGCCACTTTGCTGCTGATGAACATTCACTAAACTAGTGTTTTAATTCTTAAAATTGATGGGATTTTGCTTATATATTATATATAAGGCTCAGAATTTCATTTCAGTACATTGTTTTAGTTAGCTTGGAAATAGAAACATGAGGAAAGCATAAAAAAATGTTTGTAAACAAAAACAAAAACCAAAACCTACCTTAATGGATAATTGAACATGGCTACACTAAACAAGGTTTACGAATTGCGCGCGCACACACACACACATATGTATATATAAAAGAAGAAGAATAAACATAGACAACAAGAGGGTGATGTGCACAGTCTTATGCGTAATTGTTCACGATCTAAAACTAAAGCAGATGAGAGAGGTTGAAGAATAAAACACTAAAGCAGTTGCCTACTTGAATATAGAACTCAAGTAAAGCAAAGTGACTCTTTCCTTATTCTGCTTTTGCCATAAGAATTATTGACACAGCTTCAACAAGGAGGGACAACAAATATATATATATATATATATTTTCCTTATTCTGCTCTTGCCATAAGAATTATTGACACAGCTTCAACAAGGAGGGACAACAAATATATATATATATATATATATATTGTAAGCAAATAAATAAAAAGAAGACCCAACCCTATACACTCAATCTATAGATTCTATATTGAGGTTGTGGTACTACTTGAGGAACTTGGACACCATGCTCCATTCCAAGGCCCTGCTGTAAGTGTGAGCCTTGTGCACTGGGTATAACCTTTTTTGTCTGGATTGCTCTCTCCTCTTGTTGGTTTAGCATTAGGCCGGCTGAGATGCAAATTAGCAGCCTCTTGATAAATATTTTGGTCAAAGATAAAACTTGAAAATCTGAAATCTTAACTTTTGTCAAGTGTTTTCATCAAATGCTAATTGATTACCCCCCTAAACACACAACACACAATTTCTTCCTCATTTAAGAGAGTGGAGGGCTTTGGTTTGTTCTAAAGTAATAGCATCTTAATGGGTTGGTAGTTTGTGATTGCAGCTTACTCTTTTTTCAGGATTTGTCAGTTATCAAATGGTTCGAGATGCAAATGAAGGTATATTTATCTATTATAGCATTTAATCCTGGACTCATTTTAATATTTGGGTCTCAGGACATTTACTGTTTTTATTGATTACAATTTTTCTTCATCATCTAATGTGTCGCGTTAAAGACATTTCCTGAGTTCCAATCTTGTAGCATATAACACTTCATATGCTCAATTGTACTTGTTCCTGCTTCAGTGACTCATGCAACCACACATTGATTAAGGAAATAGTGGTTCTGATTGAGATTTTATAATTGCTGCTGATTATAGTTGAAAGTAGTCACCAACTTGATGCATTATAATTTTGTGAAACTGAATGAAAAGAAATACCCTTGTCCTTGAAGTTTGTTTTATTCCAATAGGTCTGTTTTAATATTTCAAATGAATTTTTATTGGTGGATTGTTTCATATTGACTCTCACTAGTTGATTGATCAATATTGAAGCAAATGTTTTAGTGGAATTTCTTCCATGAAGTCCATAATATAATGTCATTTCCCCAAGTAAATGATTTGTGGCAAGTAACATATCACTATGTTCATGCAATTAGCTTGTGCAGACTGCTCGTCCATTCAGGCTTTGAGTTCAATATTGATTAGTGGAAAGTATTTTAAATTTTTCCTTAGTAACAAATTGTTTCTGCTTTGAAACTTTTCTCCACACTTAATTATCATCCAAATACTAACAATTATCGATATGGAAATAATAAAAAAAAGTAAAGTAAAACTATTCAAGCCATGTATTTATCGATGTGGAAATAATTTTCAGCTCCTTTGGTCGATCAAAAACTTGACATTAACAGTTTACCTTGCTAGAATAACAAAGTTTATATCATAATCTTTTAGTTTGTGATATTCAATCAGAAATTTTACAACTTCCTGAAATAAAGTTTGTAGTTATGACATTTCCATTACAGAGTTTGATTAAATCACCAATTCTGGATATCAGAGTACTGCACTGAAATTTTATGTATCAATTTTGAGTATTTTTCTTTCTTTCTTTCTTTTTTTGTTTTTTTTTTTGTTTTTTTTTATCAACTACAAAAAAAAAAAAAAGAAGAAGTTATTCTTTCTTTGTCTGGGCTTATCTCTCCCTTTCCTTTACAGTTGGGAAGTCTGGATTCGGGAGCCCCCTGTCACTTGGACATTCCCCTGGGAAAACTGACAGGATTCACATCAAAGGCCCTAGAGGACGTGGGGAGGTGGAAGTTGTTGTTTCTCGTGTTGTAGGTAAATAAGAAAATCTTTTTTTTCCCCTCTCATTCTGCAAGTCCTCTAATATTTTGTAGTTTTTTTAACCTTAGTTTTATTGGTGATAATGTTTTTGCTGGTGAAGAATATGAATTGAATTGATTCGTATTTCATAATGAGTAATGGAACTTTACGAACCTTGACTCCCTTGGCGTCTGTTGGCAGAATTTCATTTAATTGTTTTTATTAAACTTACCATTCTTATTTAGCATAGCTGATCCACCCCAAACTCCCTTCCCCGTTCCAGAAACAGGTGATTATGGTTTGACAGATGTAAAGCTTTCTTCTCAAATATCTTCTGTAAAATAATTATTGCTTTTTATTTTTTAATTATTTTTCTTGGTGGTGCGAGAGTGACAGTTTATCTATTATTGTTTTTCTTTGAATACATTGAATTTGGCACAATAGAGGAAATTGATTCCTTTTTCCTTAGGTTTTTGTAAGTGCCCAGTTTGCTAGGATTTGCTTGAGAAGTATGTAGTTTACAATAGATTGATGTGGTTTGTTTTCTGCACTTGAATCGTGTCATTTTAAGCCTACTATAGTAATGCTTATACTAATTCTCTCTTTTTATGCGTCTCTCTGATTTCTTTTGGTCTCTTATTGGGCTTTTCGAGTAAGTGAATGCATTAGGAGGGACCATTTCAGAACCTTCAATTTCTTGAAATCCTAGTTTTCTCATATTGAAAACATTTTTGTTGTCATCTTCTTCTTTTTTGCTTTCCATCATACAGTTTTTTTGAAAAGTATTGCATTAACCATGCACATTTCATTTTATTAGAATCTCACAAGGAAAAGGGGAAAACTGAAATGAGGGGTAAATTCAATGAATAAGAAGGAAGAAATGGTAAAAAATGATGTCAATGCAACAATTTCATTGCTGTTGTTGTTGTAGACACCCCATTTTTGACCGTCCTCAAGACTTGGACGTCACCGTTTGAACACTCGGTGATCATCCATGTTTGTGTTCGTTTGGAGTTCCCGGAAGCCTCGGCTCGCGCGCCCTGCCTCAGGATCTCCGAACTTGACCGTTTAGTGTCCGGTTTTACACCGAACACTCGTGTTTTGCCTTGGAGAGGCAGGGAATGCCTTGTGAGACATCCCCACACCCCACCGACAGTGGCTAGAGGCCACCGGCTGGTCTTTTGCTGCTATCGGCACTTTTGTTTGCCGGTCGGCACATTTTATTGCCGGTCGGCACTGTTTTTTGCCGGTCGGCACTGTTTTTTGCCGAAATGGCATTTTTGGGCAGCCGACCACTGTTCATCCACTTTATGGAGATATTTTGTGCCAGCTGTGATAGCTGGCACCAACTCTTCCCCCCTCCATACACGTGTATGGAGGGATCTCCCTCTAAGCAAGCTTGTTGTATAAGCTTTGCACGAGGGAGCCTTATAAGAGGAGGGCCTTCCTCTTTGATCTAGGTTAGACTCTTGCAACCAAAAACCAGACCTTAGAGATATAGATACATATTATCTCTATACCTCCCTTCCTCTCCTCCTTTGTGTGTGTTTCTTAGCTCAAAAGGTGGTTTTTACCTTACTTTTGCACCATTACACACACCATTACACCTTACTCCGAGATTGAGGGACTTGGGGGGTTGTTTCTTGAGTTTTTGGACTGGTTTTGATCAAAAGAAGGAGGCTAGACCATTTGTTCTTCAAAGGTTCTTCAAGGGTGAGCATCTTGATTTATATTCCCCAAACTTGCAATAGTTTTTTACCTATCTTGCTTGCTGTTTTAGCCCTTGTGTATAACATAAAAAGGACTTGTATTTTCCTGCTCTAGCACTTTCATTAAGGTCATTTTGTGGTTTGAGTGCGAACTCACCCTTCTAGGCCTTGTTTGGTCCATTTTGGTGCCCTTTTGATAAGGTTTTGTTCACTTTAGTGTTTTGGTCCTTTGACCATTGAAAATCAGTGTATTTTTAGTGTCAAAAAAGTTGGTTTGAAGTCTTGCATAGGGGAGGGACACCCCTCTCCCTTTATGGTTTTGTTTCCTTGAGTTGTGGCCCAAGGGGGTGACATGCATGCTTGCTTGGTTTTTGCTTCATTTCAGAATTTTTTTGGGTGTTTTTAGGTCATGTGGGATCTCTATTTTTGGCTGGATTTGTACCTTCTTGTACACTTGTAGTACTTGCTTTGTATTGCTCCATTTTGCTTAGAAGTGCATCTCATGATTAGGCCATGATTCTTGTGTGTGTTGGCTTAGTTCCATGAAGTTTTTAATGTTGTTTTTCCATGCCAAAAATCTGTTGGTTATCCATTTGTTCATGCTTGACATGTTTGTTAGGGTTGCTTTGTATTTTGGCTTAAAAGCTTTAAGTATGTTGACCTCTAGCATGCATGGTTGTGATTACGCTCATGATTTAACACCATCTAGGACCACATTTTAGTCCAAGAATCATGTTTGTATGTGTGCATGCATGACCTCTTTGATGCCTTGGGGGGTGTACCCTCTTATGCCTAGGAATGAGCCTTAGTGCATATGCCTCTTGGGAGTCATCTTTAGCTGCCATACTAGGAGGCTTTGGGGTCCCATTTTGCATAAAAAAATCTGTCCTTACTTGTCTTAATCATGCCATAGCTTGGTCTTGTTGTTGGAAGTAAAGTGGCCCTTTTGGCGCCTTAGCCTCGGGTCTATTAGCTTGCATGTTGGCATGAGTTGTTTGTCCATCATTTTGAGCACTCTTGGTGCTGTTTTGAGGTGAATAAAGGTCCGCACCTTTATCACTTTGAGGCCCCTTTGCATGCTTATCTCATGTTGATTGCATGATTGTCCCATTAATGTGCTATTCCATGCTAACTTTATGGCAAATTGGTTCATGTTTGTATCTCAATTACATCTTGCATGTTAACATTACATACTTGTCATGTTTTGTTGCATGATATTTGGCATATCTTGCATAATTAGCATCATGCAGTATTTTGAGTCTTGCGAGCATAACATGCATTGCATCATTTGGCTTGGGGTGTCAAGCCAAATATGAGGGTCAAGGGACATTCATACTCCAAGTGATGTAATGTACCTTGATTCTCGGTCACCGGGGCCTTTGATTTGACATGATAATGCTTCGGATCTCATTTTGTTTGTTGCATGCATCCCTACATTGAGTGGCGAATTTGATCGCTTGGGTCATCATGCTCCACTGATGGCTCAAAGATCGAGGGTCGTGCTTCTTTGAGTTCAAAACATGATAAGAAGCGCAACCATGCCCACATGTACCTGAGAACCCCATGCCATGCACTGTCTGTTCTCTGTTTGCTGTCAAATTGTCTTCTGTAGGAAGTTTCTGCCGACCGGCAGAATTTAGTGCCGACCGGCAATATCTGGAGTGCCGAGGAATCCAACAAATGCCGATGGGAATTGTGAAGTGCCGGTGGGAATTCTGTCCGGCCGGTGGTGCTCTGTAGGATGCAAGGAACATGCTCCAGTACTTTGGCAATTTTCAGAAAGACAAGGCAGCACAAACAGAGGCGGTAGGAGTACAGTACGGGTTTTCCGGGCGAGACGGATTCGAGCATGCATCATTCGCGCATCCCGAGGCAGAGGCTGCGGCTACCCTCTTCTTTCCTTTGCCATCTTTTCTTTTAAATTAAATCAGAAATTTTGTAATAATTTTATTTGTTTATTATTCTGGGACTGTAATATTTATTTGGGCCCTCCGAGTGAGGGCAAATCTGTAATAAGTGTGTGTGGGTGGTATGTATGTCTTCCAATCCCCATTTCTTTCTTCCCTTTTATTTACCTGCTTATGATGGTAGATTAGGGCATTTTTGAAATTAGCATACCTTATGCTATGCATGCGTGCATCCATGCATTTGTATTGCATATATTAGGCTCGGTACATCACGCTAACCGCATTTGTATTTCAAATTCTAAACCGAATATGTGATAATTGTGCATTTTCACATGCCATGTCTAGGGCTAGCCGAGCCTGCCTAGATCGCATTTTGCATGTGATGCATTAGCCACTTTTAACATGAACTAGGACATGCATGTTTGCTAACTAGTTTACTGTTTTGACACGGAGTACAATGTAAGTATTTTTTGCTTTAGCATCCAGCATGCTTGTGAGTGTTGCCATAATAGTATGCTTGCCATGCGGCTAAGTGCTTACATGAGATAAACTGCTTGAATGCCTGTGGGTGGAGGTCAAATTGCTTAAATTGGGATAATGCGTTAAAACTGTGAATTTTAAGCCCACTAGATAGTGGCAAAACCATCTTTTCTAAAAGCCCACTTGAGGGTGGGAAAATCTGCATTTTAGCCTACTTGCGAATAGCAAACCATTTTCAAAACGAACATAAAATGTTTTATTTCCAATTTGGGCGATTTGGTCTATACTTGTTTGTTGCGCGCATAACATAGTAATTCTAGGCTAATAATTGGAATAAGAACATATAACGTTTTCAAAACCGGATATCACGGTTAGAAGAGGCCGGTCTTCGGACCGGGCGAAAGGGGGTGCTCATAGCTGACCTTCCCCGATCATACCCAAGCTCCCGAGCCGAGACAACTCCGGTGATGACGGACATGTGGCCTTCGGCACCGAGTTAGGGTTTCCTAAATTTCCCCATTTTAAAAAATATTTAGGTGGCGACTCTGTATCTGGCAAAGCAGTCCATGTTTGGCACTACTTTTTCAAAAAAATCTGTTTCTCAAAACAATTTGCCAGATTTGGACTCTTTGGTTTAGATTAAGAACCGTGACACAAGTCGAGTCCGAACTGTAGTAACCCCAAATGAACAGAACGGGACTCATCCTCCCGGGGCGTTCGGGGACGTCTACAGTTGTCAACCCAAAATAAATTTGTAACCAACTCGTATTGGTGCCGGCAATCAGAGGCAATAATCACTGGGGGACTACCATCTTCACCATGATCATCACCAGGATTGCAGCAGTATTGACATCATCTTTGCCTACCTGAATCCCACCGAACATCATGTCCATTTTTGTTGGAAACAAATCTATCACAATGACCCTTATTCATACTGTTGCCTTTGTCAGCAATGACCACCACGATCTGATGCCAGAAATGACCATTTTATTTGTTTTCTTCTTGTTGCCAAATTATTGAATGATGTGAACTTGATAATGATTAAGAGTTTTGTATTGTAATATCATCATATTGTTGTCTGACTACAGAGAATCTGAAACCTCTGTACATATCGCAGAGATAATGCATATGCCTTCCATATCAGAAATCATTGAAATGGACCTTATCTGAATATTAGTAGAGAATCTGAAATTAGTTTGCCTTGTGTAAATTATTGCCATTGTTGCAAGTGAATGATTTGTAACTTGGACAACATTTATTTTCACTGAGTGTAGAATGCATTGGATCTGCTGCTACTAATTATTTTAGTGTAGTTGGAAATCAAAGGTTTTTATTTTATTTTATTTTTTACCGGATGATGGTAAAAGCTTTATGTTTTGGCCAGTACTTGCGCTTGCATATCTATTAACATGCGCGCGCGCAAACACATAGACTGGTACCAGATCAATAAAAAGCTAATGGATTTTGTTTTAAACTTATCATTGATCAATACAGATTACTACCAGATCCTCCTTTTTGCTGGTGGCTGATGGCTGTTGCTTGTTGGTCTGTTGCATCTGCTGCTGCTGGTTTGCTGCTGTTGCCGCCCTCGTGGCTGATGCTTGCTAGGCTGCTGCTACTGCAATGTTGCTGTGAGGCAGCTGCTACTAGATGTTGGTCTGCTGGATAAGTCTGGGGTGATTTTCATGCCGTTTTGCCTATCTTTGTTAGTTTCATATTTTCATTTTGTTATCTGTTGTTTCTAATGTGGGTTCACAATTTGGATGTATTTGGGTATTTTAGTGACTTTACCTTTTTAGGTTTTATACATTGCTTCTAAAAGTAGTATCAGTAGTGTTTTTTTTGCTTGCACATCAACTTTAGCTGATTTCCTATCAATGTTATTAGTTTGTAATAGTGGTGCCTGAGGGATGCCTCTTGTAAATTTGTAAATCTTATAAAAATATATAAATTATTTTAAATTATTTTTGTTAGTAAATGTGTCGCCAAAAGTTTATTTTTGCCCACTCATATTGTGTTGTTAGAAGCGTATTTTTTGCCAATGTCAATTTGTCGTTGCCAAAAGTAAACCTTTATCGACAAACAAATCGTCGGCAAATGGTATTATTTGCCGACGTAAATGCATTGCCAAAAGTTTATTTTTGCCCACTCATATTGTGTTGCTAAATGTATTTTTTGCCAATGCTAATTTGTCGTTGCCAAAAGTTAAGTTTTATCGACAAACAAATCGTAGGCAAATGACAATATTTACCAACGTAAATGTGTCGCCAAAAGTTTATTTTTGGCGACGCATATTTTGTTGCTAAAAGTATATTTTTTGCCCATGCAAATTTGTGTCGCGAAAAGTGCCACACAATCATCATATTTGAATGACTTTTACCGACGCAAGGTAAATTGCCGACGATGGATGAAGGCTTTTATCGACAACTATGTTCGTTGCTGAAGGCATTACTTTTACCAACGCAATGATAATTTCGTCGGCAAAAACTTTTGCCTACTCACTTTTGCCTACGGGTTGCCAACGTAGCTTTGTGTGTCGGCAAAACTCTTTGCCGACGAATTTTTCCTTTTAGCAACATATTTTGTTGTGTTGCGAAAAATGCAATTTCTTGTAGTGTGCGTATGGAGAGAGAGAGAGAGAGAGAGGAAGAGAGGCTGAAGTTTGAGACTCAGAAATGAAATGAAATGAATTAGGTGAGAGGAGAGAGACAGACCAACATATATATATATATATGGTGAATATTTCGGGAAATATGCGGGGATTTATGTGGGGAAATTCGGGGCAGGGACGAGGCGGGGGCGGGGTAACCTATCCTCGTCCCCGGCCCGAAAATGATTGGGGATTCAATTTTCAATACCATCCCCGGCCCATGGGGAGTTTTTTTCGGGGAAAAACCGTCCCATTCGGGGTCGGGGGGTCGGGACCCCGTCGGGCCGGTTTCAAATTGCCATCCCTAACTCCAATACATCCAATCAAACTAGCTCTGCGTTATGAGTGTTTGGGAACACCAAAAAAAGCCATATATTTTTTCGAATTCTTTTGTCTTGAGTGACATTTTCTAAAAATTATGTCAATTTTTACTTTGTCAATCCATCTAGTGTAGACAAATTTAAAAGGTAATTTTTTTTTTTGAAAAATTCTTAAAAAAAAATAAATTGAAAAGCCAAAAAAGTTCACTATTTTTGTCTCATTTTATTTTTTTGGATTTTTTTTTGAAATTTTTTTAGAATTTTTTAATTTTATGGTTTGTCTCATCAAGCTGAATGTAGAAGCCTCAATTTTTTTGAAAATTTAAAGAATATAATTCATTAAAAATGAAAATAAAAAAAAAGAAAATAAGAAAAAAAAGAAAAACACCAAATAAACAAATCGTAAACACTGACACGCAAAGAAAAAAAAATATTAAATACCTAGGTGGGAATCTATAGAAGGTAGGAGACAAAGAATTTTGGTGAGAGCAAGTAACAGCACTCCAACCTTTGACATACATATGATTTTGGATAGTACCTGCATTTGGTGGTACTTTTGTTTAAAGTTTATAAAATACAAATAATTTAAATAAATTGAAAAAAAAATTGACTATTGAAATATTGGGCAAGGATTTCTTAGTTACAAAAAGCTGTTGATCCAATGCATTGTACAAAACAGTGTTTTTGACACAAAATGAACAGCTATAATTGAGGATGAATGGATATTGAACATAGGCTTTGTTTGGTGCAGTTTATGATATTCCTTCTAATTTTATTTTATTTTATTTTTTATTTTTTGTTCCTTAAACCCTATGATAAAGTGTTTGACATAATTTCTGTTTCTAATTTTTAAGAAAAAAATGCTTTAAATAAGATAAAGAAAAACTAATTATTGGGATGCTAGGGAAGAGATACTTTTAACTTTTACTATTTGGTTATCAACTTTTAATTTGTAACCTTTTTAAAAAAAAAAAATTCAACATTAAAAAAATTAGGTTGTTTCAAAAATGAGATTTTTTAAAGGCCCCTGGTATTAAGATTTTATAGCATAAAGGGCACTCAATATTTTCATAATGTCTAAGGTCTCTCAACATCGATCCAAAGAATTTTTCCGGACTTCCCAGAGAAATTCTCTCCTCTGGACTTTCAACTCTCTAGAGAAATTCTCTCCAGAAAAATTCTGGACTTCTGAGGAATATCATCCTAGAGAATTTCTTCCTAGAGAAAATCACCTCTTTCTCAAAATTCTTCACAATCTCAATGTGGCACTTGTGTCTTTTAAACTATTGGATAGTGTATTTAATTCCTTTATTTTCATTTTCGGAGTCTTTGGAGTTATTGTATTTTGATTTTGGAGAACTACAATACGATTTAAACTTGTTGGGATTATTTGTTCACGTTTGATTACGTTGAAAAGTTCTTTGGAAACTTGGAAAATTTGTCCTGGGGTCAACACTTTGCTTTCTGGGGGTCGACACCACTTTGTTACCTTACTCTTAGTGCTTTTACTGGTTTTTGGGGTCGACACCTGAGTTCCTAGGATTGACCCTTCCCTTGTTATTTTGTTCTGGGTTGCATTCTGAAATAAAGGGCGACACAACTGGTCCTAAAGATCGACCCTTGTCCTGTGCACACATTAGTCTCAGCTTTTTTTCCTTATGGGTCGACACCTCTATCTGAAGGGTCGACCCTTGTGAGTAAAATTTTAGATTTTCAGTTCATTCTTTGGGCTTTACTTTTGGGGGTTTGACTTATTCTTTTCTTTGACTTTAGGGCTATTATTCTACCACTATAAACAGGCCCTAAACACACTTTTCTCATTCACTCTTTCATCTCTCTCTCTCTCTCTCTCTCTCTCTCTCTCTCTTCTTTACACCGTGAATCTCTCTCTCTTTTATAAACTCACCTTTTTCACTTAGATCTCTAGATCTACTCATGTATCCACCTTGGTCCTTTGAGAAAGATTGTAGGTCTTGTCAAGGGTTTTCTTTTTATCCAAGAGTTTCGTAGTTTCATCAACTTTGAATTTTTCGAAGTTCTCCTCTTTGCTTTAACAGGTGGGGTCTATTTCCTAAACTCAATATGAGTTTTGTAGCATATTTGTGCCTTATTTTGTTATGTATATTTGGTAATCATTTGGTATGATTTTTACCCTTGTTATTTGTTATTTCAAAAGATCTATGGATTTGGGTGTTTTGGGTTAAACTTAGGGTGCGGATTTTGAAAGGTGAAAGAAAGATTTTCTTTAAATGAGTTTTTGAACAATGTTATGATTTTGTAAAGTTGGTTGAGATATGTTGACATGGTGGCTTTCTTTTACTCGAAAGTGATTTTGAAAGAAAATGAGGTTTTGTGAAATTGGGGGATTGTTGGGCCATGATTTTGCTACTAAAGTTATTTTTGGTAATCAAAATTGCATATAGATCTCTAAAATTGGAAAAGCCCTAATTTTTAGACAAATCCTACATGATATTGTTTTGGGAGTTGGATTGATTTGTGGTAAATGGTTTGGTTGGAAAGAAAATGGTTGTGAGATTTTTGAAATGAGTGTTGTTACTCTCTTGGAAAATATATCTATATGGTTATCTTTTAATTCTTGCATTGGAGATAATTGTTTTGGCTATCGGTGGAGGATAGCATTGTTGTGTGTTAGAAATCGCATGTCGATTAGGCAATTGAAATCATTCATATCATGGAGCATGTAATGGATTTTGGAAATTGAAACTTTATGTTTTGAAAAGAGGTTTTGGAAATTCCTACATTCTGTTTTGGAACATTTGCAGTGTTTTGGAAAAATAATATTTTGAGTTACATGGATTGTACTATTGAAAAGGGTAAATAAAATGGTGAATCTGGGAAGAGGTGTATATCACCAAATCAAGTTGGCCTGTGTGTCCAGAGTGAAAGTCCCAAAAATCACACGTACATAGGTGCCAGTTCCCGCAGATGAAATATATGTAAAATGGCAATAGTAGCGCTTGCATAGCCTACGTTTACATGAGTCCCATTTGACGGTTTTTCACAGACGAAATATCTGTGAAAGGTTGTATGTGTTTTGCAAATTTATCCATTTATTTACTATTATGTTGGTTTGGAACAAGATGTTTAGAAAATGGTTTTAAAAAAATGTATTTGATGTGTCTAGCGATGTATTCGCATTTGATTTAGCAATGTATTTGCTAGTTGACATTGAGGCACCGGGATTGGTTTCTAGAAAGGGATTTTATATCAAATGGATAATTAGAACTCGAAAAATGTTTTGATTAAACGTAAGGTTTTGGTAATTTGAGGAAAAGGATTTTGTTGAGAAATCAAATGGATTTGAGAATGCATTTGGGCATATTGTATATATGTATTGCATCATGATCATTTATGCTGGTGGAGCATATTTAGTTTTTTTGAAATATTCTCTACTTGGCTTTATGCTCACCCTACATGGCTGAAAATGTTTTTCAGGTGTACATGCATGGATGTGGACTGTGATGTGAAGCTGTGTTCGGAACTGTGTAGGGTGGTTCTGTTATTTGTAGGCCAAGGGCCCCTTTATGTTCTTTATTGGTTGTGTGCCATTCTTGTAAGGGTTACACCCTTGTGTATGATGTAAGCCTCAGGGCATTTGATTTGATTTATAACATCTGTGCATGTTTA